GCGTGCGAGTGATGTCATCTTATCACTTCTTACCTGTCCCGGACTATGTCACCGACTCACAATACACGTTCCTCATCACATCCTTATAGCAGCCTCCGTCTACCTGTAGTAGATTGGGTGAAAAGAGAACCTGTCACATGACGAACGCCACTCAGTCCAGGAAGAATTCCCCCCCACTGGCCAGAGTAAGGAACAGAAGCTGCCGGGACATCCCCAGACCAGCTAGAAGGGGGGCGGGACGACACAGCAGTCATTTCTAGGAGTATTGACTTGTACTGGGACTATGACAGTGGTCTCTTATAACAAGTCCCCAGACTGTAACTGTCTCCTGTAGCATGTCTCCAAACACACATGTGGCGTGTCTGTCCATCTCCTGTAATATGTCTGAAGTCTCTGACCATCTCCCCTACCATATCTGCAGTCTCTGACTATCACCTGTAGCATGTCTGCAGTCTCTGACCATCTCCTGTAGCATGTCTGCAGTCTCTGACCACCTCCTGCACCATGCCTGCAGTCTCTCACCACCTCCTGCACCATGCCTGCAGTCTCTCACCACGCCTGCAGTCTCTGACCATCTCCTGTAGCATGTCTGCAGTCTCTGACCACCTCCTGCACCATGCCTGCAGTCTCTCACCACCTCCTGCACCATGCCTGCAGTCTCTCACCACGCCTGCAGTCTCTGACCATCTCCTGGAGCATGCCTGCAGTCTGACCACCTCCTGCACCATGCCTGCAGTCTGACCATCTCCTGGAGCATGCCTGCAGTCTCTCACCATCTCCTGAACAAGTCCAGCCACTGGATTCTCATTTTTAGTAACAAAGCCACTGCGATTCTCTTGCAGCAATTGTGAGACTGTCTTTGAGCCAATCAGGTCTGCTGCACTCACATGTGCTTCTTGCATCTGAATGTGGAGTCAGCATAAGGCGGAGCACCTTTGTCAGCTGACCCTCTTTCACTGTCAAATCTCAGGCTGGGGTGCGGGGAGGTGACCACACTGTTTTGATAAAGCGCAGTAGAGAAAAGTGAGGTCACCAGGCCCCCTGCACTGTATAAATTCCGAGATTAGGGGGCTATAGATACAGATCCTTTGGCAGATAAAACAGATCCCACATATCTGATTGGCATGGTGTTCAGCTTTAACTGAACAAGCAATAAAAAACAGCCCAGAGGCCATTAAAATTCTTGCATCAGCTAATCCTCAGTATTAACCCCTTCGTGACTGACGACGTACAGTGTACGTCGCCAGCATCGGGGCTGTTTAAACAGACTCCCGGCGACTTTTGCCGCCGGGACTCTGTTTAAACTTGTAGAGCCGACTGTCGGCTTTACAACAGCAATATATTGCAGCTGAATGATCAAAACGGCTGTACCGTTGCCTATAGCAACCAAGGTGTTATGGTAACCAGAGAGGTTTTATTTTTACATTCCATGAAGATGTGACTCTGCTTTGAGTGTGCACAGCAATCTATATCCATGTGTCCAGACTGTAGCCCAGTGCAGCCATGCTGATCACCCTGCACGGCAGCCACAGGGCCTCCCTCCAAATAAACACCACAAAAATATCCGCCCTCCCGAGCGTTGGCGGCGGAATCCGAAGCCGGAGAAACATGTGACCAACCAGTGTAACTCCTTGGAGAAGCACATGATGTAACCAGAGCACGGCGTGTGTGACGCGCCCTCACCCCACTCGCTCTGCGCTCTCCCATTGGACGCGGCTACTCGTTCTACAGGCGGGGTTTTCCCCCTTTTGCCCGCTCAACCAAGCTTGTGGCCGTGGCCGCCCCTTCGCGTTGCTGATTGGTTGAAGCAGTGATGGCCTCCGCTGAATATTCATGAGCGAGTTGGGTTACCAGAAGCTGTTTGTGTGTGTATGTGTTGGGCGCCCTGCTGCATGGAATTTCCTTACAAGGCGGTGGGAGGTGCCCGGTGGCTGGGTAACGGAGCCCTTAACCCCAACAGTGCTGGACAGGGAGACGACGGGCCCTTAACCCCAACAGTGCTGGACAGGGAGACGGCGGGCCCTTAACCCCAACAGTGCTGGACAGGGAGACGGCGGGTTATAGGAGAGCTGACAAAAGTTAACTGGGCATATATATATATATACAGGTGAAACTCAAATAATTAGAATATCGTGCAAACGTATTTGCAGTAAATGCTGCAAAAGGGGCCCAAACCAAGTACTGAGTACTTGTATGCATGCTTGTACTTTTCAGAGGTCCGATATTGTTCTATGTACAATCCTTGTTTTATTGATTGCATGTAATAATCTACTTTTTTGAGGTTGTGGATTTGGGGTTCTTGGGGTTTTCATGAGCTGTAAGCCATAATCATCACAATTATGACAAATCACGGCTTGAATTATCTTGCTTTGCATGTAATGAGTCTATCTCATATATTAGTTTCACCTTTTAAGTTGCATTAGTGAAATAAATGAACTTTGCAC